TGTGTTTTCTTCATTGCATACAAACATGGATAGGTCTGTGTGCTCACACCAACTGATTCTCCTAATTGCTGTGTCTTCCGGAGTCATTTCCCCCAGTGTAAAATCACTGGTTTGACTTGGTAACTGCTTTACACCTACTTTGTACTTATGTCAGTGAAAGTCAAGGTTGAGGGCAAAGAGTGTCAGCAGTCATCACATCCACAGCACATGTCCCCTATTCTGCACTTTATAAGTCACAGCGATCACAGTTCATGCATCCTTGACTTTTCAAGCTCTGTGCAGTTGCAGTCAAAGGGATGAAGTTGCTTTTCCATGAGGAAATGAATGGAGCTTTTATTCCTTGTCTTTGACTAAAGCACTTAGATGGGTTTAGGCCCAGCAAATTATTTCTAATAGCAGGCAAAATTGATCACCCAGGTACTTTGATGCAGCCCTTTTATTTACAAAGAAAGCACAAAATTCTGTTTCCTTGATCAGAGGGGGAATCAGGCAACAGCTGACACTTTTTCTGCATGCAATTTCAGGCCTTTCAGCCAGCACTTTACCCAGAAACACTCCACCAGCTTTTTTTCTCAAGGTCATTCTTGTAGAGTTTATCTGATTCTGCCTGATTTTGAGAGAAGGCGACTCCTGTTAGACCACAGGAGCACACAGTTGCTCCAAGCACCGCCCTCCTCCCCGCATCTTCAAAGCCAAACATTTTTCAGTCAGGAGAAATTCCAGGTTTGCCCTTTTGCCTTCTTTCTTAGGGTGGCTGTTCCTGTTTCAGCTGCCTGCTTCTGTACGAGACCTTGTTTGTTTCTTATACAAAAGACTATCCAATTAAAGGGAACATTAAACCTGCTGGGGTCATAAGCTTTTGCCTGAACTCTGTGTCTGGATGGCATTAGAGTTAGATACTCAGCATGAGTCTTTGTGCTGATGAAGAGCAAAAGACCTTTGCACACCTAATTGCCAGTGATGAGGAACAGGAATATGTGATGGAATTGGAGCGAGAGAAGATTCTCACTGCCCAAGTGAAGTTTTTACTATATGTTCCCCTTGCCACTGGAGAGAAATATCCTGTTGACCAATAAGCAGTATGCATTGCTAAACTGGGTTGAATTTCTCTGCATTCTTTGCCCTACTCATCATATTTAACCTTGGATTTATTTATAGAGAACCGCACAGAAAATCGTATTTAAGAAAGGAAGAAACAGAAAGAAAGCCTGGACATCGTGTGTTTTCTTACAATATTGTCCTGGACAGTTTCCAATCTGTTAATGAATGAACACTGACATCTAAACCATCCCCAAGGGAGGTTCAAGATCCATCTGAGCTCGGTAGGAGCTTTCTAAATAGCTGTAACAAGGCCATACTTCAAAAGAAATACATTTTGCTATTTTTAAAACATGTGAGTTTTGGAAGGCTTTGAATATCAAGATTAATTCTCTGTCTAAATCCAGTAGAAGGCATCACTGACTGGTCAGTCTCACTCAAATCTTGAAGATTTTAATATTGCCTGGAATCTGGATTTGATGTTCTAAAAGTTTAAGGTATGACTGTGTTTAGTTTGCTTTTTTTCCCAGAGCAGACTGTACATGTACTTATCAGATTCCTTAGTATATCTCACTGGATTTATGTGAAAAATATATTACATTATCTATCAGCACTTGAAATTTTGACTCAGGGATTCTAGTTGGATAGATTACTGAGCAATGTTTAATTAAAAGATTTAATGATACTCTGAACAAGACACGACTCACTCTTGAACAACACGAACAGCTCCTATGTGTGAAAAAAACCCCAAGGACCCAGATGTTGCCTTGCACAGTATGATGCTGTTTGCAGTAGGCAGCAATATAAGATGGCTGTGGAAGCAGGGCACGGCAGCCAGGCAGGTTTGGAGACTGGATTATGCACCAGGTCACTAAAATTACAACGTGAAGCTGAGTGAACTATTCTCAGTGCCCCGCATTAGACATCCACCTTGGATGTCTGAGCTAAAAAGCTACTCTGCTCTCTAGTACAGTCACTGAGTGTCCTGTTCAGAACTGCCTTTCAGAGGTGCCTGTCCCTTTTCATTGCCTATAATAGGTAGTCTAAGGAGCACAGATTCCTTATTTAGCCACCTGAGTAATTAGCACAGTGAGATGTTATTTAATATGTCTCTGTGCTGAGGCCTTCATCCTAAAGTGGTGTACAGTTACTATTATTGGAGAGAAGGAGAATGCAAAGTCCAGAACAAGAATTCAGTTGTGGAGGCACTGAGGACATTTGGCTTCAGAGGCTCGGTCCAAACCTGTTAGAGAAATGGGCCAGGCCCCAGCTGTCACTGGTGTTTGCTTGGTTGTAGGGAGAGAAGGGAAGGATTGAATCTTGGCTGTGATTATTTCGTGTGAATGCACAAGTACTGAATGCTCTGTCAGAGGCAGTTCTTTAACATGGGAAAATATCAGTCCTGTGTTTGCTTTCAAAGCTGTGCTCTTGTTTGTTCCGGGGTGTAACTGCACCTTCATGTTCTCATTGTGTAAGCCCGGTCTCCTCAGCAAAGCTCAGTGTCTGACTTGTCCCATTTAAAAGAAGACCTTGCTCCTATTTTATTCCAAAATGCTGGACTGACTGGCACAGACATTTGGGTTTATTCTATGATGTGTGGATATGGGCCATAATGATGCTACTGCTTAGTTAAAGGTTACTAATTACTGTCGCAGAGATTGCAGTTCCTGACACCTTGGTGAAGTTCAAACTAAATAAAGGGTTTTTTTTTGACAGCCTAAATGATATCAGCCTTACAAAAACAATGCATGTTGTTTGCACCTTCAGAACATGGGAAATGTCCTGACCAGGGGGCCATCTATGCCAGTTCACCATCTCAGTTGGAGAAACCAAAGTGTCTTCAGTGTTTCATTGCTTTTTTGTAACTAAGAATTCACTTCATGCTGCAATTTCTGATTCCGTTTTACCAGGTAAACATTCAGCTCTGGATCAGATGTTCATGCTGTCAGAACAAAAACATCTGAGCAACATGTCGCTATTTTTATGACAGTGATGTTTTGACCTCATGCCAGCATGACCCAGGAACAATTCCCATTAAGTCTATTGATGGGAGTCTTTCCTCGAAGGGGACGCTCAGGAAACATTACCTGAATTATCTTTTAAAGTAGATTAGTTAAATTTTATTAAACCCTATGCAGATATTCATATTCAGAGTAAAGTGGCAGTAATCTGATTTAGTGTACTTCACTCTGAAACTGAAGAAAGCTAAATCAAATGAAGGCCACTTGAATTCTGAGTAACAGCACTCATGCAGGACTCCAGTGTAACTTCACTAACCACTTTCAAGTCACACTTGCCATTAATTTGGATTAATTTTTCTGACTTTCTCTGTGAAGATAAGGGACAATAAAATCATCATAGATGACCTGACCATCCGTTCTGCTTCTCCTTCCAAGAAAACATTATGGGCCTAGCTCCTCCTGAATATTGGACGGTTGGTTTGGAGTTCTGGATCTGAAGGTTGCTGTTTATTTCTAGTCTATAGTCAATGCTTTTCTCCCTTTACTAACCGTTTACATTAAGCACATCAGTGTAGAACCTTAGCATTTGTCCAGGCAAGAACAGAAGGGTACTGCTGTCTGGTGTTGATGTTCCTGTGGTAGAGCTGTGCATGTGGAAAAGTTGCAGTGTATGTGCCTGGTTTAAACATGTAGCTTCAGCTGTTCTGTATCAGGAGTATTAAATTTACTTGTAGATTTAAAATAGGTGAATGATTTGGCAGCTAAAAGGTCAGGACACATGCTGTTTATTTTGTGCTTTGCTTTTCCTGATTAATAGAAAATCGTAGGATCTGATATTATTGTCAATGACTTCTGGTGTAATGCCTGTGCAGACAAAATGTAGAATACTCCTGTTGTATCCCCCATACCTTTCCCCAGCTTTGTATTTTGTCACAGTTGCAGTGCGAAGTACTCCAGCACTCAGCCAGCATATGTTCTAACTCACAACGGTCTCTGTGGAGGGAGGGGTATTGACTTCTCCATAATGTGCAGATCAAATTTCAGGCTTTTAGAGTTTTGTGCATTTGCCAGGTACACTGAAATACAGATAACCAGCTCTTGCAACCTTCATGTGACTTTGGCAGCATGCACGTGGCTATTCTGCATGGCGTATGGACTCACCTCTTCCCCAGAGATGGCATCACTGCTATAGGTATGCACCAGTCATTTTCCCTATCTGGATTCAGTGTCAGGGGGATATTAGCCTATGTGAGAAGCATCAAGAAGGTTTTGCAGTCCTGAGAGAAACCAGTGCAAATTCACAGCATTGAAACTATTTGACCTAGGCTGCATTGCAAAGCACCCTCCCTGGGAACAGGTCTGCCTCTGGGTGTCACCTTGGCAGCACTGTGTTCTAGCTCTGCATGCCCTGCTGACCTTCTTTTAGTCTGTTCTGTGAATGCACTTGACCTCCTGGCAGCCATGAGAGGCTGTGCTGTCGCCCTTATACCAGTACATCAGCCCACCGTTGCAGGGAGACAGGCGGCAGTTAGACCCTCCTCTGGATCTGGAAACGGGTCTTCGCTGAGTGTGCACAAGGACTTGATATGAGGAGTACTATAGAGCTTTTTCTGCACAGATACTAGGCAATCTAGAACAAGCTTTAATAAATTAAAAAGGTAAAGATGAAGACCACAAGGACATATGAGGAGAGGATCTATCCTCAGCTCAGCTTTAAAAATGAAGCAGCAATACAAAAAAAGCCCCCACAGAATAACGTGCTTTAGCACACAAAGCAACAAGAGCCCAGAGCTTCTGCAGGTCCCAGGGGGATTTTAGAAGCAGAGTTGGAGCTAGGCTCGGAGAGCTGGCTGGGGGGGCTCTCCGAGGAGGGTATGAGCTGGCTGTGCTCCTTTGTGCCAGCGAGAAGCCAGGCAGCAGCACTGCTGCTCAGGGCTGGGACCAGTGGGGGGGCAGAAAGGCTGAGTTAGAGGCCAAGATGGGCACATTTGCGACTTACAGAATTCAGGTCTAAAGACGACAGTGAAGCCATTGGGCAAGGAAAGAACTGGGGAGGTTCTGGGGACACTATCGTTTCCGTGTTTGACAAGCAGAAGACAGGCACACAGGCACTGTGGAAGGAGCGTGGCATTCAGGAAGCTCATACTCCCCTCTCTGCCCATAGTCGGAAGCAGCTGAAGCCCCCTGGGAAGCCTTGGCCTTGCAAGTGCTTATTGGGTTGCTGTATACATTGAGTGCCCTGGGGCTTGGTTTGTTTTTCCATGCTAAGCCGCTTTCCATTGCGTTTAATATTATACAGATAACAAACAAACAAAATAACAGTAAAGCTGTTCTCACACGTACACACAAAACCATGTATGCCAAGATTCACGGGTTCAGGCACAGCTGCTGCCTCATTCGTTTTAAAGCTTCTCAGCAAAAAATTGCAAGCAGGCCTGTCCTGCAGTTCTTGGGTCTTCCCCAGGAGATCTGACAGAATTCAGTTTTCTGAATTTCAGATCGGACAGAAATGAGAGTTTTGTGAAAAGCATGTGGAAACACAAATCTCATGTAATATTCTTTTCTCACAGGAGTACAAGCTTTAAACTGTCCTGAGCTGTGAAATTCTGATGGGGCCATTACAAAGAAATGAACTGAGCCTCACAGTAGCTCTGAGGGAGAAATGTTACTTACAGCCTGCTCAAGCACTGCTTTTAAAAGGCATTTAAATGTCTCCCTCACATATTCCAAAAGATTAAAGTAATTTTTTCAAAAGCAGCTCTTGACTGTAGATACCTATTTCTAGAACCTGCAGGCCTGTTGTTTCTCAGAATGACTGCGTATTTATACATAGGGTACTGAAATATTAAAAATAAAGAAGCATTTCTTTATTCTCATCTTTTTGTAGGATGGGTGGAAGATAAATTATCCAACAAAAGGATTTATTCTTACAGCACTGAATGATTAAAAATTCAGAGATTCTTCCTTTTTCCCTCTTCTATCTGACTGGGACTCGCCTTTAGAAGATGATTCCCAAGAGGCCACATACACCATGAAGCTCAGAGGCAGGTAACCTGGTCAGACATGGCTTGTGGCTAGTTTTTCCCAGTGGCTGGCTCCAGCCTTTGCCCAGCAAAGCTTCTTCTCTATGGAACAAGCCTCTGCTGAGCACCTAACAGCCTGGGCAAAAATATTCCTCTTGAGGTCAGGCCTTTTAGGCCATGTGTTGCCTAAGTTAGAGCGCAGAAAAAGCCTCAGAAATTCTAGTGAATTGTTTATGGTTTCACACAGCTAAAACCAGCCCGTCAGTCACAGTTTCAGCTATGGTCTCTGTTCCTGCAGGGAAAACCTGTTGTTAAGAAAACAACCATTATCTTATCTTCAGACTTTGGAAATATTAACATGAGCTTTGTATAATGATTCAAAGGTCTGCCTATATATGATGACAGCTATGAAAAGAAACCTATCCTAGATGACTGAATACACTTGTGCATATATTTAAAATATAATATTGTCTTTTTAGTTACAAAAAGAGTGCAGAATACATAAAGGTGACGCAGCGATGCTCACACAACGCAGTCTTTTGCTGGGTTCCTTCAACTCCGGGAGACTTAAGACTGCTGAGTTTACTGCTTGGACACCCAACAGCTTGAAGGATCAGGCCCTCCATTTGGTGAGCTCAGGCCTTTCCTCACTGAACCAGGTTTTTCTGGGTGCTGACCACTCTCAGTACCTCTGGTTTTACAGTTACATGCAGGAATCTGGTTTTCAAAACAGCTACTAAGAGCCTTGAAGATCTTAAAGATGCCTGGTCAAAATTTACTTCCACAAGCACCGAATTGTCCCTGAAATGTAAAGAGAAAAGCAGGAGGAGTGCTACCTGCAGCTACTTTTGAACTGGACTGCAAAGCCTACTACCTACCATACACATAATGCCTAGTGTAACAGCACTCCAAACCCTGGCTGAGTTATAGCTGTAGGTAAGATAGTAAACTATTTGAAAATTAGTATCGTATATTTAACTTTTCACATTAGCTAGTTTGGAGCAATTTGAATTCTGCTCACACATCCCACTGTATGCTGGCTAGTAAAAGAAATTAACACTTTTGCCTCATCACCTCATAAAGTATCATAAATTTGAACCCGGTATGAAATAAAAAGAGTCTGGAAGATCTTACAGGATTCTTCATGTTTTAACTCCAACTGAAATTGTTAAAAGTAAAGAGAAGTGAAGAGAATTGACAGAGTCAAATTAACCCATGTGGTAGCTAAAGAAACCTGGGTAGCTAAGGCCGACATCAGTCTGACCCAGTGTAGATGTTGTAATCTCATTAACTGGCTTCAGAAGCAAGAGCAATTAAATGACGGGTAAAAGCAGTGCTAAGGCTGTAATTTATTGCATGAGACCATTAGTGGGAAAACAACCTTTTGACAGAGAGAATTAATTTTTTTTCTCAGTCTGCTGGAAGTTGGGAAATACGAGTAAATAAAATGACCTCTGACACGGTATGTTTCCTAGGATAACTGCCTAGCTGTTTGGGTAACAGATAATTTTTGGCCACTTGTATAACGTTTTGATACCAAACAGCTTTATTTTGTCTACTTGCATACACATTTACTGCAGGCAGCAGCTCCTTCCACGAAAGGATTTAGTCGGAGGTGACAGCAGTAAACGTTTGCCGGCAAAACCTATACACAGAGTTTGGAGGACAAAGCCCAACCAAACGCACCGTTCCCTGGATCTGGCTGCTTATAAATGCGGTCAACAGAGAAACAAGGAATTCGGCGGTTTACCACCACCACCACCGGCGGCAGAGAACGGCCCGCCCTGTCGACGGCCTCACAAACCCACCCTCGTTTCCACCGGGGCACTCGTTGTTCGTGGCCGTTTTTCCAAGTGACCGGCAAAGGGTGTAATGTCACGGTCCCCGTGCTGGCCATTTACTGTTTCTCCGAGCGGCTCCTCGTTCTGGGG